TTTGATTATAAACTACTCTTTATTACCACGTTGGTATCTTCATACTTTGTTAAGTTTCTTATACAATGTATGTATAAGTTTACTTATCTCAATTTTATACTAGAAGTTTTTGTTTTTATATATAAAGCCAACCTGTCGAAAACGAACATATTTTGGACTTCCGTTTAACAGTCCCGATTCCAAAATTGTAAAATTGAACAATATGAAAAACACTATCACTTTATATAAATAATCAAAACATAAATAAGAGGAGAAAAAATCTATTTAAAAATAATTTAATTTTGGATGTAACACGTCTTCTGATTGGCTGAAAGTGTTTTGTCTATCAGCTCATAGACATAATTTTGTCATGTGACCGTGACGTCACCAACGTTTTTTTCAAAATTTATTCCTTAAAAATGGAATTTAGAATTAAATTATAAGGAATGACTGTAATATTTTTTCTGTCTATTCGAAATAACCTAAAAAATGTGGTGCACCCTTTTAAATAACCCGCTACGCGGGTTATTCAGTGTGCACCACATTTTTGATGTTATTTCTTCATAGACAGAAAAAATGTTACAGTCATTCCTTAAATAAAATGACAAAACTGAACTTAATGGTGTTATTGGTAAACTCATGCTTTATGAAAATGTTCCACTATAAAGTTAAATTCTCTGTGGTATCTTATGTATAGGTTATGTTTTCATTCTGGCATGATGTAAAGTATATAAAATATAATCAAAACCTGATAAAAAATTCACTGAAATAATTTGCTGAAAAATGTGTGGTTGGTTGTGCGATAGATACTAGCAGAAGTCCATTACTAGGACTTCTAATACTAGTAACAGTTTGACATGCCTTCAAAAAATGATGAATTATCATGCAGCGGCATGTCGACGTACTCTAAATATGCTTATTCTGGTACTATCATACTAATATATTATGCCCCAGCCTTATTGTAATATATTGTAATATAAGTCTTTCTTCGAAAAAAACAAAATTTCAAATGATTTCGTAAAAATATTATAAAGGATCAGTGCACTGTGTGTGAAAATGAAGTGAGATATTGGACTACGTATTTTCACGTCAGATAAACTTCTTTGTGCATGTACTTCATATTCGATTAAGTATTTTCAAAAGAGAGTGGAATGTCCATCGATAAATAAAGGGGGACAGGAATAAAATGGTAAAATAAGTCCATTACATAATGCGATCTCGGATGCAATTATTTGTCTCTATATATGATCACGATATTTAAGATATATGTAAATGAGGCAGTAGAACATCAATACAAATAAAAAAAAGACTAGTTAATGAATTATAACACAATTTTCATTTAAAATGTAATCAAAGTTTCCAGAAAATACATGATAAATGAAGAAAAGAAAAATTGAAAGTTTCAATCTTAAATTCTCTATGACTTCAATGTGAAAATAAAACAACGATTAGAAAAATTACCGCTTGTACAAAATAGCTTGCGCTGAAGAAAAAAAAAAGGTCAAAGTGGGTTTTTTTTTCAGTTTCTTGGAAATCTGTTTTTTTTTCTTTCTTTCGACTTGAAAGTTAAAAGATTATGTTATGCCCGGGGTTATGAAAATTTTCAAATCTTGAAATTTGATTAATTTAAAAAAAAGATGTTCTATGGACGACAGAAAGAAGTACGATCAAGCGAATCCTTGGTTTTTCTTTCTGAAGACAATTTCGATAAGAACGAATTACTTTATTTAGCAGTAAAAAAACCTAATCAAAGTACAGACCCTCATCTTCATTCTTCTTGGAATCGAAAGAAAATAGGCATGTCTAACTGGCTAAATTAATAAATAATATATGGCCAAATCTGCTCCCACGGCACATGAATTATTCGATATAAAACAAAACGAAAAAACTTACATTTACATGTATCTTATTCCTCAAATCTGAATAATTATCGACTGGAAAAGAAGGAGCATGGGTATAAATAATTTATCTACAACACAAAATCCCTACATGCAATAGGCCACACCAAAGGCAAAGGAACAATGATTTTTATTGCTGTTCTTTATCTGAAAAACACACTTTGAGGCCTTGCATAATTTGTATTTCCAACTTTTTTCAATTTTTACGCAAAAAATGAGCCTCAAAGTCAATAGCTAAAATTATATATGAAGTTTTGGTTCTTGAAAAGTCTGTAGTTTTTGACATTCGGAAATTGAAATTTTACTTTGCTTTTCGAATTACAAGTATTAATTCAATTATACTCTGAATAGAATTATTCTAAGTCTTAAGTTAACCACAACTTTTAGATATAAATCAGAATTAGATAAAATTAAGCCTTATAAAAAACAAAATGTTAACATTTTGAAATTCTTTTTTGTTTTCTTCCATTTTCGACCATTCTAAAGCTCATGTATAAACGTATATGTTAAATGAATATTGTGCAGTGTTTTAAGGGAATGACACTTGTTGAAAGTCACAAATGATGGCCAAAATAAATCATGAAAAAATTACCATATTTCACTTTACTTCTCTGATCGGTGTGTCATTAAATAATGTATTATAATTTTTAACAAAGACGTAAATCGGGGAAAAAATGTCTAAATGACAAGTGTTACATTGCATTTAAAAAATCCATTGCAAGAGTATTATATGATTAGAAAGCATCGCTCGATGTTGGAAGTTCAGTTTCGACACTTTTCGTTTACCTCATAAAATCAAATGACGGACATATTTAGTTAGTTGATGAATAGGCAAAATCATTGCTATTTGTCATGTCAATGATTAGCTTTTTGTATGCTTTACTGTGACGTATTTACAGAGGCGGATCCGAGGGGGGATTAGGATTGCACATTATATTTGCAGGAAAATATAAAGATAATTTGTAATTATTATGTCGATAGTTAATAATTTTGAACATATTTATCATTTTGAAATATATATTTTTCATGATGAATTCTAAAAGAAATATTAAGTGATTATGAGAAATCCGATAATCGCTCTATCAGACATACATGTAACTTAATTGCCAATATTGCAGAGTGAATAGCATTTTGTTTCCAAACTAAGAAGGCTTGATACACCAGCAGTTGCACGTGGAAGTAAAAAAAGAGAAAACAGAGTGTGTGATTAAACTATTCCGAGAATATCAGAATGGAGAAAATGACCAAATTTAATCTCTTTAAGCAATGGGCTTCAAATATTCAGCTAGTACCGACATGTAAAATCGGTACTTTTACTCTTCAGATTTGTTTTGTCTTTTCATCTTTATCTTTATTTCCAGGGCTTAGTGCTTGTGTATAGTAGACAGCAATTATCCTGGTCGAAACCCACTTCCACCTCATCATAGGTGAGCAGTGAACTCAGACTAACGGAAGGGTTACTTGTAAATTGTTCCAAAAAATAATTTAATAAGGGAAATATACCATTGTTAACCTAAATTTACCTGTTAAAAGAATGCGCGCAAATGTAATCAAAAGCTGCGCGCAAACGTAATGATTTTACGCGGAAATGTAATGGTAATGCGCCCTGATGTAATGCGCCGATCCAGGGGATGTCACCGGGTGATCATTATAAAAAATACAAATTATAGTTTTGATTAATTAACGAATTAGTCTATCGCTGGTTATACAGTAGTCATTGTTTTCCAATACAATAGATTTGACATGTATGTAATCATCGATAGTTAATTACTACTTCGATTCTTTTGATGGGGAGGTGTGAAAAAGAAGAAACAATTATCAATTTTAGACTAAGAATCGGTAATTGATATTTCTTTTTTTTTTGGATTAAGTTTAGTTATATTTTAAAGTTTACACTTCATTGCTAACCGCTTTCACCGACAATTAAAACATGTGAAATTTGCTACCAATAGATTGTGCATTCGTTCTGATTATTATAACATTTTAAAAGTCTATAACCACCCCATATTAACTTCTTTTATGTTGAAATTTTTACCCCCGTTTCTTCAGGAAACACCACAAATCAACCCCATCTGAAGAAGTACCAACAACCCTAAATATATCACGGCTCTTGGTTTGACTCCGGATGTGCTCAGTCATGGTTGAATTTCTGTTAAAATAAAAATGAAACACTGCCAAAGTCACCAAAAAGGTTGGCTGGGGTATAGAAATATGATCATCCCTGGGACTTTTCCTGTTCCAGCAGTAAAATCCTTGCTAAAGTTGTGCGTCCGTTTGGCTGTGAGGTATGTAAAATATGTACACAACAGCCACGTCCGGTCGGAGTCAGGACTTTAAATCCAACGTATCGTGAAGAGAGAGTGTCACGTTCTCTGCACGTAAGAGAACCTTTATAACAAGTCTCTAAGGGGTCGCTAAATGGCTTGTTGCCATCCAACATACCTACATTTTCCAGTTGCAGTCCTAATTTCCCGTTTTTTTCCCCATCCCAGTCGACATTCATTGCATGACCTATCTATTGTATCAATTGTTACTTTGTTATCGTCCTGAACATGCATGAAATATTTGCCACTGGACATAAAGCAAAAAATAAACAAAACAAAACAATCAACCAATCACTGCCAAAGTCAGCAGTTATAAGTACAAAATAATACAACAGACTTGACCACCTAAAAATCTTTGTCATTCTCCAATTAGCCTTCACAATCCGTATAAACTGCAGCGAATGTAAACGTTCAAACAGCATGAACAGAGATAATGATACAATATATTACTTCAAATCTCTGATTCAAATAATGAGCACACATTTGTGAAATGTTTTACGTGCAGCAAAGGGTCAGAAAAGACTCAATAGATAAGCACGTGCATTATGGTTTATACTTAAATCATATTGACAATTTCGCTCGAAGACATTCAAGAAAAATGAAATCGGCATTTTGAAAATATGTGTAACTATATGTTTTGTAGCTACCTTTTTATAAAGATAAGGAGATGTGGTATGATTGCCAATGAGACAACTATCCACCTCAAATAAAATGAAGTGGATGTAAGCATCTTGACCTTATTATAAAAAAAAATGAACGTTTTGAAATGACACCCCATTTTTTTTTTATCCGCACCTGATTTAAGTCTTCATGGTTGAAAGTAATCACAATTGAGACCTCAAATACATTGATTACCTTTCTCTGCTATACGTTCATCAGAAACTCGTCTTATTTCAGCAGTTATACTGGCGTTCATATTCTTTACAACATTATCAATGTTTTGCACTGGAAAATATAAGAAATTCAGTTATTATAAATCAAACCCATTATTATGAAATATGGTCACATGTTAAGTTAGTGATCCTGCATGTTAAATCAACTTTTTAGCGGAGAACTTCAATTTGAATCAAATAACAGCCCTCTAATTGTAAAAGTATTGTATTTCAACCTTTGTTTGTAATACAAACAGGTAAATCTTTTCTTGAAGTTTCAATATTTATATTATTTTGAATTGAAATAAATGAAAGTTGTATATTGATAATTTAGCTTTTGGTCAAATTATTTTGTGATTTGTCACGTTTTATTAGTTTCTAATTGTAGTATTTTATGATTTTGGTAATTGGAAAAAAATTGTATCAAACTGTAAAGGACTCAATAAAAAGTCACTGATGCATCATGGTTTATATTTAGATCGTGTTGATAATGTTGGCGTATCGAGAATGGCCGAGTAGTTACGATTGGTTCAGAAAGATTTTGAAAGCAAAGAAAAATGTATACCTTATAATCAGCATGACTTTATCAGATGACAATACGAATACTAAAAATCCTGGCTAAAAATAAGGCGTAGGTACTTAGTTCAGTCACGGACCCGCGATGTCGCTAGTTTATATACGTATAAGGAGATGTGGTATAAACGGATTGCCAATGAGACAACTATCCACCTAAAATAAAATGAAGTGGATGTAAGCAAGCTACATGTACCCTCTTGACCTAAATATTAAAAAAAAAATAAATGTTTTGAAATTTTGAACGCCCCTCCCCCTGAAAAATTTCTAGATCCGCCCCTGATTTAAGTCTTCATAGTTGAAAGTAATCACAATTGAGACCTCAAATACATTGATTACCTTTCTCTGCTATACTTTCATCAGAAACTCGTCTTATTTCATCAGTTATACCGACGGCTAGTTTCTTTACTACATTATCAATGTATTGCCCTGAAAACATGAGAAATTTAATTATCAGAAGTAATGCCTTTCATTATCATTATGAATATAAGTCACAGGGGCTATTGGAAATCATTGATGTTAAATCATTTTTTAGCTGGAAAATTCCATTAGCGTCAAATTACAACCCTCCAATGGTAAACATATGTTAACTAAGAAATAATAAACGTATTTACACTTTTGGTATTTAGCTACATTTTGCCTCCGAATGACCTTAGATCTACTCCGAATCACCTTTTGACGTCAGGCAATACTCACTTTTTAATTGTGACGTCAAATGTTTTGAATTATGATGTCAAAGTTTACGGGAACCTGTGTGATTTAAGGTAATGGCGAACAAATTTGCATACAAGTGTAAATACGTCTTATTTCGATTCTAATAGGACAAATATGGTAATTAAAAAACTGAAGCGAAGGTAAGATTGCCGTATGTATGGCTGTTCTATTTTACCCCCGGTAAGATAAGAGCTACAGATTTCAAATAAATATAAGTCTTACATGGATTATTTCTTAAATAACTACTAGAAAAAAATGTGTCCAATTCTCACAATTCTTAACCCAAGCATTTTTTGTTTCGTTGGCTACTATACACCTTATCGCTATTTGTCCGCCGACCGTTACTGGACATCACGCAAGTTCCCGTAAAATTTTGACGTCATAATAGAAAATATCTGACGCCACAATGGAAGAGTGATTGTTGTGTGACGTCAAAAGTTCGAGCGGGACAGATTCTCGGGTCAAGCGGGAATAGCGATAAGGTGTATTTACTTCAAATCCAGAGTTGACATGTCGTATCTAAGGAGTGAGCCGCCATGTTGACTTGCTGAAATCCACAAATGTGCGAAAAATGCAATAGAACAGAAAATGAAACACCACCTACCTCAAAACTCCATTTTAATGCAATATTATCCGAACTTAGGGCGTATACGTAACGGAAAACCTTCAGCTTTGAGAGTTTTCATTCGTATGACGTCATGTTATGACATCGGACGTTAATGCGCCAAGATCATTCACGAAATTTCGCGGAATTTTATTTTATTTTGATTTTATACAATTTTGAAGCTCTTGTGCATTAATTCTTTTTGTTATGCATTAGAATAGGAATAACGGTTCTGTAGTTTCTTTATCAATTTCAATTTGAACATAACGAAATCGGCATAGTTTTTGCACATAGGTTACGATACATGAGGATTTACGTGGGAGGTAAATAATAACAACCACCAATATGCACATCTCTGAGTCTGCTCTAAGTATAGATATATCGAGAATTTTATCACGGTGTTGTTTACAAAGCGAAAGAAGCACGTCATATTAGAATTCAGCCTTTTTTTATTGTCATAAATTATTCATACAATTTCAACCATTTGAGCAATTTGCAAGATATAGGAATTTATCCATGCGATAACTGAGAAGTAAAGTTTATTCCCCAATTTCCCCTTTTCAAACTAAAAAAAGGGGGAATATATTTTCTATTTGGACCACTGTATCAAATGAATATTTTATGATTACAAAGTTGATAAATAGGTAAGATCATTGTTATTTTTTATGTCAAGGATTAGATTTTTGATGGTTTTTAACTTATTTTAGACTTTATAATCATTAGCAATCACAATTGATATCTCAAATACAATGGACGGTTACCTTCCTTTAGTTCATCAGAAATTCGTCTTATTTCAGCAGCCAGATTCTCTTTTCTTTAACATCAATGTTTTTCTCTAGAAAACATGAGAAATTCAAATATTAGAAGTTACACCTATTATTATGAAAGTTGGTCACATATTATGTTAGTGATCATGCATGATAAATCAATTTTTTTCTGAAAAATTCCATTTGTGTCAAATATTAGATCTCCAATTGTAACAATATGGCATTTCAGTCTTTGATTCTCATGCATCATGCAGAATCAAAGACTGAAATGCCATATTGTTACAACTTTTCGAAAAGAATATTTCGATCTTAATGTTCTTCTGCATTTGATTTGGCCTTCCCTCTATTTTGATTCCAGCGCCTCAAATTACAAGCCTGGTATCTTATGTGAGGTTTTACAACCCCCCATCTTCGCTAGCCAAGGGTTACGATCCAGTCCTTTCCTCTCGACTGGATCGTAAACCTTGGCACGCGAAGATGTACAACCCCTGGGTCGATGCCATTGATGATGGATGTTTCGTCGCCGAGGCCGATATCACCAGCCCAGTAGTCAGCACTTTTTGTGTTGACATATAATTAATTTGTCCATTTTTTGTAAATTCACGGTTTATACAATGTTTAATTATTCGAAACACTAAGTTTTTTTTCTACTTATGCATAGATTGTATTACCTGTATTTTACGCAACTTTTCGGAATTACCCCTTTATAAATATCTTGCGCTGGAAGCGCTTTTCTGGATGAAAGAGATTCAAAAAGAATAGCTCAATTCATCAAAGGTCAATTTTGCCTGAGGGAATCAGAGCCTTTGTTATAAATCATTTCATGAGCTGATGACATCATTGGAAACTAACAGTCCACCAACAGTGGTGTGAGATATATTAATTTATCCGTGTGATACCACAGAAGAATAGTTTATTCCTAAAATTCCTTTTTCAACTAGCAGAAAGAGGGGATGGGGCAATAGTTTTAGCATATAGTCTGTTTGTACTACTATTCGATGAACACTTTCTAATAAAAAGTTGATAAATAGGTAAGATCATTGATATATATAATGAGTAGAAACTAACAAATTAGATGCGGTATTTTCTGAAAATTTCATATTTCTTACTAGTTATGTCGATGCACAGTTTTCTTTGTATTACCCATATGTTACTTCCAGCACAGTTTCATTTCAGTAAATTTGTATTTCGACTAAAGCTTTGTTTGTTTGTTTATTCTTTGCTAGAACTAGATCATAAAATGAAATCAGGAAAAGAAGTCAATACATTAAGTTTGATTGTGTTATAGGTACAGAACCACTACCTTATTCGGGCCCGGACAGGAAGAACACACCGAAGCACTAATTCTGGCTTGGTATGGAAGAACACATATAAGTTCTTCCTGACCGGCCCCGAATTAGTGATTCTATACCCTTAAACCTTCCTCTAAATGCAATGATGAAAGACCCTACTCTAACTGCATTTTAACCAGATTCACATTTGTGTCGCCGTTGTCTCGCTATCATATTCTTTAACACGCTTATTGATATTTGACATTTTGAAAACGGTTGTAAAGATGACCCAATCGGTGACGGCTAAACAACGTGCGGGAAACCGAGATCAATGGACTATTGAATTTACTTTACCTAATCAGTTTCGGTTTCGATTATATTTGATTTTGTGTACTATATCTCCTGTACCGCAAAAATACATGCGACTGAGTTATGAATAGAGTTCTAAAGTTCTTCAGACACATAAAAGGTGGCCATCAGTTGCAGATTTTGACCAAGTAATGGCACGGTCGCCTATACAAACACTAGCATTTAATGTAGGACTAAGATTAAGATCTTTCAGATGATATTTGATGTAAGAGAATGATATATAGTTAATATCAATACACTTTTTTAAAGTAGACGGATAGATTGCAAAGTATTATTTTAAACTAATAACACCAAACCATTGTGTGGTATAGAATAAAAGAGGATGAATTTCAAAGACAGTGATTCAATTAGTTCAAATTTCAGACGATTATTTGATTATATTAAATTTGTTTAATTAATTTTACTGTGAACTGGAATATACTTTTAAAGTAAAAGTGTTTGCAAATTCAGAATGGACTAAAAAGATTCATGTTTGTTAGTCATTGGAATAAGTTTAACATAATACATTGTTTGGTCTCGAACTATTTTACTTCTTGTTACCTGTTCGATCATGATTTTCCTGAAATCTTCTTTCATTTACGATTACGTATACAGCCATCAGTGCAACAACAATAGAATTGATGAATACAAAAAGTTTGCTCATGTCGTATAAGTGTTTTCTTCTATAAAGTGATAATGTTCTTGAAATATAAACCATGCAGCACAGCTATTGAAATTGTCGTGAATAACACAGAGCAAAGGGGAATAAGTCATATTTGATAAATAAGTAGTCGTGTATGACGGTTAACATTCATGCTATAATTATTTAAATAAGCGTGTACATACGACAGATTAAGGACATTTAACATTATTGTCGGAAAACAGAAAATTTGTTTGTACGAGGTTTAGAAACAGGACGAACAGCAAGGCTTGTCGAGCTTTTCTCCTGATTCGTAGCAAGTAAATCAAAAAAATATATAAAATTATATATTAATTGTATTATTTTATATTAATATAATTATAAATTCTATATTTTTCTCTTGCAATTTACCCTTGGAACTTTGACGTTTAGCTTTTTAATTCCAAATCGTTGTATCATCATTTTATAATAATATTACTACCTATCACCTTTAACATGAAAATTACAATTATGCAATTATTATTCAGAGAACAATTGAAGGTCTTTCCACTTCTAAACATTTATTTTGATATGAAAATATTAAAATTCGGTTTAAAATGTCATTACCAGTGTCAAATGATAGCTTATTGTTTGCTTGACCTTGACCTTTGGCCTTGACCTCAAATTTAATTTTATGGACCCAGGACCTCAAATACACGTACCTTGGGTCTGTATTACTTACCATTCGTGTGATACATTGCCATATCACTTATGTCAAATTCAAAAGGGGAAATAACTGTCATATAGAGTCTACGAATTGATTCGGTTAAATTTGACAAATCATCTTTAGGATATAACGAGCAATTTAGTTCAATAAATTTGTCGCTTTCTTTTACGGTTACGGAGGAGATATCGGAACAATGAAAAGTCAAAATTTAGAACACGACCTTGACCTTTGACCTTGACCTCCAATTTATTTTAATGAACCCAAGACCTCAAATACACGTATCTTAGGTCTGTATTACTTACCATTCATGTGATACATTGACATATCACTTATGTCAAATTCAAAATGGGAAATAACTGTCATAGTCTACGAATTGATTCGGTTAAAATTTGACAAATCATTCTGAGGATATAACGAGCAATTTAGTAAAATAAATTTGTCGCTTTCTTTTACGGTTACGGAGGAGATCTCACCACAAAGAAAACAGTGTTACTCTTACAATTAAAAGTCTTCGACTAAACAGGGTCAGTCTGAAAAGCACAATAACTTTCAAATGTAAAAAATCTAAGCGACATCTTGCGAAACCACAAAACAAGTTTTGAAATTTGGCGGAAGAAGAAAAAAATCATCAGAACAAATACAATAGGTCTTTCCACAAAATAGTGGAAAGACCTAATTAAATTTGCATAGAAATTGTTAGGCTGATTTTTCTTAAAATCAATGAAGTGGATTTGATGTCTTTTAGGATTGTACGTATGCTTTATTTTATCACCTTGCACATTCGCCACTTGACTGTGTTTTTCTACAGCAATTTGTTAAAATTTCTGACCAGTTTAACAGTTTGGTTTGATAACACAAATTGTAATTTGGTCAGATTTTTACATAAACTGAAATAGGTGAGAGCAACACTAACATTCAAGTCACAGTAAATAAATTTGTATCTATGTTGTAGATTGTAAACTAAACATACATAATACTTCCACAACCTTATTTTGACAATGAACAAACATTTAGGAACTCGTTTTTATCGTATAAAGTCTCATAAAACGCTCCGAATGTTAAATGCACCTTAAGTTTTCTTATCTTCTTAAATCTTAATGGGTAAATAATCAAGTCAGTGATTTCGTTACCACACATTACTTGAAACCTTTACTAAAGTTTTTAGTAGATACCTAAATTAAGTTTGGAATGTACCTGTTGATACCTTATTACAAACGGAAAATCACATCTTGATTTTTACGTTGATGTTATTTATAGACCCCGCAAATTTGGATACGATCAATTCAAACTTACTGATCCTTTGAATAAACGTTTTCTTCAAAGTAATCCGTTAAACATTGCAGTAAGATCTTTGATTGTTGTCTTAGTTAGAACTCGCATTGATTTGTTTTTGATAGATTAGAGCATAATATATTGTTAAACGGCTATGAACACTAATAGTCCTACATCCTGTCGATACTTCTATTTTGGCATTGCACAAGGTTATGAAAATGTCAAAATGTACTGATTAATATTTAAGCCTTGGAAAACATCGTTTATTTACTAGTTGAAAGTGCATGTAAACTAGTTTTCGTTTTCAATTTTTGGGGCTTGAGCATTCCTGGTGAAGGTAAAATTCTGAAAAGCGCATCGGACGCATGGCATTTATAAAGTGTTATGTAAACAATGTATTTTCAACAACCGCGAGTAATCTTTAATCGGAATTTGTGATTTTGTCTTGTTAGGGTTTTTATTGTGCTTCGTTCAAATCTGACGAGTCAAGTCCTTTCCAACTACTTTTTACAGATTGTTCTCATGTTGTAGTGTTATATCACTATCTCAGTTTAGGGGTAGTTTGATCGCTAACCATCATGTTTAACCCAGCTACATTATTTGCGTTCCTGTCAGGAATCTGTTGTTCAATGTCTGTCGTTGGTTGTTGTCTGCCAGATTTGTTTCTCTTTCTATGTTTTTATGTCAAGAACGACACTGTTTAAACAACAAATACACTGACAAATTTTGAGCTTTTTGAGCGACAAAATGTTTGTGGATTTTGATGAACTGATATTTCAACATACCTTTGTTATTCTAATGTGTACAAATTGTGCAACCCCGATCGACTTGCT